CTACGCTGTAGATAGGTAACCTGTGCTCGCTCCAGCTTCACCCCTACGCTGTAGGTAGGTAACCTGTGCTCGCTCCAGCTTCACCCCTATGCTGTAGATAGGTAACCTGTGCTCACTCCAGCTTCATCCCTACACTGTAGACAGATAACCTGAGATTAAGTCAAGAGCCCACATTTATGAAGCTAACAGAAGACCCAGCTGGCTAAGTGAGCCCCACACTCCTTACCACACAACACTAACACATCTCTCAGGGCAGAAGCATACATTTAGCTCCTGCCAGGCCCCAAGTGGAAGACTGGTTATTTACTTGAAAAACAGATCTAAAATATTTGAAAAGTGTTACCAATTATGGAATAAATCTAGGACAAGAGGCAAAAAGTAAATATAGGAAGGTTTGTGATCTTCAGTCGGTTTTTATGGAGGTGTCTGTTGTATTCCTATTTTAGTAAAAGTGTATTTTTAAAAAAAAGAGCGAGGTTTGATTCCCAGCACCCACATGGAGGCTCACAACCTCTGATCCCTTCTTCTAGCCTCCAAAAGTACTGTATACCCATGGCACACAGACATATATATATATATATATATATATATATATATATATATATATATATATGGAGAAATGCTCAAACACATAAGATAAAAATAGCTAAATCTTAATAAAACAGAACAAAACCCCAAACCCCACCCTTTCCATGTGACAACCTGTGGGGACATACTTTATTGCACTTAAACTTTTGTACATCCAGTTCCCAAATGAGAGGTGTTTATTCATCTTTTAAACCCTCACGGCTCTCACAGGCCCTGGCACATGTAGGCACTTGATGAATACGTGATCTTCAGAGCATGATCACGCATCCGCGATCCTTCTATTGTACAGCAGGCCAACGTGCAGCTTCAGGCCTCTACATCTGTTCTGCAGAACACGCAATCCCATAGTCAGTTTTGTAAAAAGTGAAAAACAATTTCTGTTCAGTGTCCAAGCGGTTCGTTCAGAAATAAAATACCAGCACTGATTTGCCTCATTGTCTCTATCCTTAGCAAAGGATTTGTTTTGCTTCCCATCAGCTGTAAGAACCCTGGTTTGTGATGCTAGACGAGCATTTCCTTCAGTTTTTGTCACATATAAAAGCCGTGTGCCGTGACCTGAGGTCTTCCACTATCTTCTCTTCTATCACCACGCCTTTTGCTATTTCATCCTCTGACAGCAGTAACTTGGTTTCCGAGTCTCTGGTTACAATAACCACACAGGACTGTATTGACTCGAGGATATTGGCTACCACCACTTGATGCTGATAAACTTCCAAAGCATTCCGAGCACGATTGATTATAATCTCGGGATCGGTTTCCAGCTTAAAGGAAACTATAAATGCTTTGGGAGCCCAATCTTTAACCAGAGGAGAAAGCATTTTCGGCACCATCTTCATTGTTATCTGTATTAGAAAGAGCAGGCAAAGGTTAGTAAGTAAGCTACTGGTCAGTCCCTACCAGGAATCTAAGCAAGCAGGGACTGACTTCTGCCTAAGTTAAAAGGGATTTCCCACTGTGTGACTTTCTGGAGCCTACCAAATGCCTAAAGACTAGGTTCTGTAGGGGTTCATAACACCTAAACTCAAGGCCTCACAACTACTCTGAGGTAAATACATTTTCTGAACCTGTACTGTCCTGTCATTCTCATTACAATTCCTCAAACACTTCCTTTGACTGCACTATCATTACTACTTTTGAAAACAGGGTCTCACTATGCAGCCCTGGCTGACCTGGAACTTGGTATATGGACCAGGCTTGGCTGCAAAGTCAGATGTGCCTGCTTCTGTCTCTAGAGTGTTGGGATTAAAGGTGTGAGTCACCATGCCCGGCACTCACTGAATTATTATGTCTTTGAGAATCTTACAGATTTTATTTTGATCATGTTCATCTCATTTCTTTTAAAGCAAATCTGAATGTAAAACAAGTGTAACTGCTCATGGAAATATTACTTTGGCAGAAGTCCAATAATACCGAGTTTTAAACCTCTTCACCTGAAGTATGTCATAAGCTGGTGGGGCGGCTGGTGGTTCTCATCGACAATTTTTTTTTATTTGTTAAGGAAAAGCATAAATACAGGAGCCAGAACAGAGCACTGAAGACACAGCTGACTTGGCCTTCACTTGATTAAAGTTCCTGCCCTGTTGCCTAAGACCTTAGACAACCCAAGGGGGATACTGCGTCATCTGTATATCTTCAAGATAAATAAAAACTGTGGGAGAAACTGGAGCTCCCAGGCTTTTTAAAGAGTATGCGGTCTGTCAGCAAGTGTGACAGAAATCACACACAGGGTCCCACTTTGGCATTCATCACCAGTATTCAGCAGGGATGCCATTCCCCTGCAGAGAGCAAGCAACGCAAGCAACTGCTAGTGTCCTGGGTATTTCTCTTCCTCTCTAGGTACCACAATAGTCCTTGGCACACAGGAGGTCCTCCAAGATGTATAACTAAAGGTGCCCTTCAAATACTTATCTATAAACTACTTGCATCATCCAATAAATGCCTTTGAATTCTCCCTGGTTCCCAGGCATCAAGTCATCTTAAATTCTCAGCCTCGACACTATCCTCCCATGCCTTTTCCTTAAACTACAACAGCCCTATCTACCCACTCTACTTCTACCTCATCTTCCCAAATGCTATTCTTTGCAAACTAAACCTTTTGCTTTTATTAAATTATTTCGAGACTGAGTCTTACTGTGTAGCCCTGGCTGGCCTGAAACTCACTACGTGGACCTGGCTGGCCTTGAAATCACGGAGATCCTCTGTCTGGAGGGCTGCAATTAAAGGAACGTGCCACTATGCCCTAAAAAACTGTTATCTTTTGCTTCCACCTTAGTGCCTCTGGCCTCCACAAGATGAAGTCCAAATATCTTAAGAACGAAAACAAAGTCGGGTTTTTTTCCCCCTCTTCAGTCTTACCAAAGCACTTCATTTCACAGACCATTACTCAAAGGCAAACTCCAACTCGTAACTCCACTTGGAATGACCTTTCCCACTTTATTATACCCCCACCTTCTGATGAGTCATCTCCGGGAAACCTCGACTCCCCCAGCTCACTACCCCGAGATCTGACTGCACTTTGTACATACCTCCACTACAGAATTTATCATTCTGATCTGTGATTATGGCTGGTGTCCAGGCCCTCGCTAGATTGTGAGGTCCTTGAGGGAGGGCAGTGCCTAGCTGATACAGAATGCAGAAAGGCCATCTCCAGATCAAGAGGAAAGTAACTCAAGACTGGTTATAGGGGGTCAGGTCTCTGGAAGAGAGCCCATCACCTGCAGTGGGCCACCAGACGAGTGGATCTTGTGTTCAGGCATTTCGGATACAGGAATATAGAAATCAGACACTGCCGCAGCCAAGTAAAACATCGCAGAAGAGCCTGTAAAAAAAGAAACCAGAGAGTTTAAGAAATCGGGGAAGGGCATGGGACCTGGTCCTTTTCAACTCGGGTTCCCCGGCTGGCTGCAGGGTAAGTAGGAAGCATGAGGAAAGAGAGGCTGGGAGAATGGTTGTACCGCCAAGAAACCTTTGGATTCCTTACAGCACTCACCTAATGGATTGAGAGCTAGGGCCGCAGCCTGCAGCAGATGCAGGTAGTCCGCCAAAGTGGTGAACTCCACGGCCAGGAAGGTGCCGGCAGCAGCTGCCTCTTGGTAGCTCTGCAATGCTGCAGCAAAGCCCGGGAGTGCACTTTCTTCGGCCTCCAGACTCAGTTTCCCCGACTGGGCTGGGCCACAAGGCCGCAGTGCCGACAACCAGGCCTGGGGCGGGAAGCGGTGGGCATAGGGGAAGGCCGAGCGCGCTCGGTACAAGAACAGGACACCGTAACCCGCAGCCAGGAAGACCTCGACCGAAGCTGCCCCGCGTCGCCCGCTGCTGAAGTTGTCCAGAAAGCGCACGGCTCGCGCTTCCAGGGGGACCTTGGTGCCTCCTGATGTGATCAGCACCACCCGCCGGCCCTGCGCGCCTAGCCTGGCCGCAAAGCTAGCCATAACCTCGGCCCAGCGCGCAGCACCCTCCGGCCGCGGCATGTCCGCGACCAGGTCCATTTCCGCCATCTGAAAGCGGGAGTCACTGGCACGCAGGAACCACGACGTCCCGGCACGCCGGCCCCGGCGCCACGCCCCCTTCCGGATACCTGGGCTACGCGCAACCGCAAATAATGACTGTGGGCGTTCCCCCGCCTTCTGGACCTCAGTAGGTCCTGATCTCGCCAAGGCTTGAGAATGCCTGGCTGTTCTGTCAGGGCCCGTCGAAATGCGTTGAGAGGAAGCGTCTTTCTCGTATATCCAGAAAAATTATACTTCCTGTGGGTTTCCTAGTCTGGAAAGCTAAGTGGATTTTTTTTCTTTTTTCTTTTTTACCTTTACCGGCCACCGTACATCCCTCCCCAAGCTTGGGTTCTATTGCAATCAAATTCTAGACATTTAACCTTTGGGAGAGTTTGCGCTCTCCCCTCCCCGTGTGCCGCTGTTAGTCCCGCCCCGCTCCGCCCCCTTGCCCTTGAAATCCGGACAACCCGGCGGCCCGCGGTTGTCACGTGACGTCTGTGTGGTCTAGCCTGGCAACCGTCTTAGAGAGGACTCCACCGGCTGCGCCATGAACGTGATCTACCCGCTGGCGGTGCCCAAGGGGCGCCGGCTCTGCTGTGAGGTGTGCGAAGCCCCGGCCGAGCGGATGTGCACGGCCTGTACAGTCACTTATTACTGGTAGGCCTTGGAACGTGGTGCCTGGCGCCTTTGCTCCCTCTCCGCCTCCCAGCCTTGGGTCTGGCCTGGTGCGTCTGTGTACTCGCCCCTTTCAGCCATCGACCCCTCACGGGCCCGAGCAGGCTTGAAGACGCGTCTCTTAAGACTCCTGTAGCCTCGTCTGCCTCCTCTCTTACATCAGGTTTTTCTCCTGATGTTTCCCAGGGGTCCTACTGATACTGTGTTGGGCGCCATTCTAGGTGCGGAACGTAATGGGCCAGTTCTGTAGACCCATTCCCTCAGAGCTCAAATATTATAGTTTGGAAGACAGTGAAGAAAACAAATGATAATTTTAGGGAGAAATGTCAGAAGTCAAAGGAAATGTGAGAAGTTGGGCGGACAGCTTCTCTGACAGTAGATGATTGGTCTGAAAATAAAGAGCTAAAAAGCCAGCATTCTTGCCCTGGAAAGGCACAGATAGGGCTAGTTAGGATAGACTTGTGTCCTTGAGGACTATAAAGAAGACTAATTGGCCAGTGCACAGCCAAGAGAGTTTGAGTGTAGTCCGGAGCTAATAATTCCAGAGACCCCTTTGTATGTATTCACATTTATACTCCCCCTTCATCCTTTTTTATGATAGGGTTTGTGTAGTCGAATTGGCCTCAAACTCACTACGTAAGCTAAGGACAAAACTTTTGATCCTCCTATCCACGCCCCTCAAGGACTGGGGTTCAGAGTGTGTGTCAATGCCTGAGTGTGGTCCTGGAGATAAAACCCCAGGCTCCAAGCATACTAGACAGACACCACCA